GACAGTTTAAATCTTCTTCTTGGATGTTATCAAAGGCAACAGTGATTAAAGAATCCTGTTCAACGTGCACATAAAATCAGCAGCACAAGAGTTCAGGGGAATCACACATAACTAGGAACAACAAAATCAACTCGTAATAACCCAAATGTCTTTTTGTGTTTTTTTTTTGGCAAAATCCCAAATGTCTTTCAAAAGCCACAATTACCTTTAGACAGTAAACTGCACCTTATCCAAGAGCTCCTGCATCAGCCATGTCCAGTTTTAATACAGCTACATCAGGGGTGCTAAACTGCATTGCCAAAAAAAAAGGGAAATTCATCATCTCCAATCTCCACTTTACCAGAACTAATACCAGATTGTCATGATCGGGCAGACAAAACACCATCCAGCTCAAGCATTACTAATTTACTTTTTGGGCCATATATGATATTGTGTTTTTTGTTTTCCCTCCTTTTTTTCTTTTTATTTTCACTAACAATGATACAAGTTATTTGATTAAGCAACTGCATTTCACCCCAAAATTCCTATAAATAGAATGACTAATCTGACATCTACAAGAAACACAAACTGCCATTGGTTGTATGAGTATGACCCAAATCCAACACACACAATGTCAACACAATTGAGTTCAAAAAAATCCCAGGACCCGGAAGACCTAACTAAATAGAGCATTGCAATTTGTAACAGCAACTGGAACTCCACCATTCAGCTAAAAGATAAATCATGTTGATATTTGGGCAATTCAAAGTTATGGCATTTTTAATAGCAAAACCTTGAGGAAGTTGTGCAATTATCAATTGGACTGATTCAAAGCATTAACCATTGAAAACCCAAAACAAAAGATTGGCAGCAGGCACTCTTACCAATTACAGAAAATGATACAACACACAACTCACTACAAATTGAGAATTGCGGAGCCCCTCTTTTGAGAAGTATCCAAATTCCTTGATGCCCATGAAGAGATAGAGGCGGATATCTCAGCTTCCTGATCCAACAAAAAGAAGTCAGTTAATTAATCCATATTTCGTCCATGTTCCTTTTTATCTCATTTTGCAGTTCATGAATGAACAATTTCTAGAAATAAAAATAGACCAAAGCAAAGATGAACCTTTTCCACATCGATTAGAGGAGCCATGGTGAAGATGAACTGTTTCAGAGTGACAATAGGTGATTTCTTCTTCATCTTCTTCATCGATTAAAGAAAATCAGCGCCACTAAATAAAGATGAACTGCCCTCCTGCTACAGATGCTCTTCAATTCGGGCAAGTACATCAATGTGAAACTTTTTAATTTTGGAAGAATGAGTTGGGTGACCCCTTATTTTTCTCCTCTGCTTCTTCTGCATCCCATGCTATTATTTCTTCCATCTGATGGCAATAAGCAATGCTAATTTTCTTCTAGACTTCGGAGATACATCCGAAAAGGGGGAACAACTTCTTTATTTTATCACACTGCCGAACACTTAATGTTTTAAGAGATGAAAAAGTGGCTGGTGGCAGTGGTGACTTTGGTAATGACTTCTGCTTCAAACAGCGCATCCAACTTTTCCAACCTATAAAGATCCAGAACCTCAAGCCTTTGGACCAGTGGATTTATGGATGAGGAAAGAACACACTTCACGTCACAGCAATACAAATTTTCTTACTTTGGTAATGACTTCTGCTTCAAACAGCGCATCCAAC